TGGGAGACAGTGTCTCCTTGAGTTAATTCCAAGAGAACTGCCTCCATCCAAACACTTTGCCTTTGTAAATGATAAATCACACCTATGTGCAGTCCTATACCTTGACCCCCCTCAGTTGTTTTATAAGTATGAGAGAAGCCTTGCATTAAACGGATCCTTTGGACTATAGGTCTGTGGTCCCCCGTCTCTTTGTTTCTCTGCTGGGGAGGCCTGGGGAGGCGGTTCTTGACCACCAAACAAGAACACGTTGAACACCCACATTTTGAGCTCACAGTGGGGGACAAGACATGGTGGTGTTTAGGACTTACTCTTAGTTGTTGTTGTTGTTATTGTTTTGTTTTGCTTTCTGCGTCACACCCAGCAATGCACAGGGGTTACTCCTGGCTCATGCACTCATGAATTACTCTTGGCAGTTCTTTGGGGACCATATCAGGTCAGCCACATGCAAGGCAAATGTCCTACCCGATGTGCTATCACTCCAGGCCCTAGGACTTATTCTAGGCACTGTGCTCAGGGAGCACATCTGGAAAGTATTGGAGGTGCAGGGATCAAACCCATGTTGATCATGTACAAGGCAAGTACATATACATATATGAATTACGTAGGTTTTGACACTAGTTATATGTGACAAAAACCTTGCCAAATCTTATTTTTTTCCTTAATAAAATGGTAATACTAATACTTTTGGCAGGATTTTGATACAGTCAATCATTACGCCTACTGAATCAGAGAATTCAGGAAACAGACAGTATTATATTGTTCCATTTCCCTCATTCTGCAGAAAAGGATCTTGCACAGAAATGCAAAGGCAGTTTGTATCTTAGCCAAGTTTCTTAAGTTCCAGGTCAGTATTCTTTCTTACTATATACCATGCTGTTTTTCAGAGGTAAAGCTACTAAGAGATGAAAAGGAAAAGCATCTGGGTAACTCTTTCTCCATTCAGTTTTTAGTAAGAAACCCTAGAGTGAACAGAAGAGATATTATGAAAAGGTCAGGAATGTGGCTCAGCAGGCCCTCGGTTAGATCTCTGGTAATCAATGCCCTCACAACTCCAGAACCACTGGGCATAGCTGTTGAGGGTCCCCTGAGCATAGCTGGATGTGATCCCCACAACAATTTTTAAAAACTGAAAATAAAAAGAGGTTAGTATACTAAAGCTATTAATCACAATTGTTTCCAATGTTAAATATATTAGATGTTTATAAAATAACATTACAGCATCTCTGAGAAAATGAACTTTATTTTCAAAGAACTGTTAAAAGTCACTTTGTTTTTGTTTGGGGGCCACACCTGGAAGTTCTCAGAGATCATTCGTTGCAGGCTTGGGCGGACATATGTTAGGCCAGAGATCAAACCCAGGTTGACTGCACACAAGGCAAGTGCCCTCCCTACCCACTGTACTATCGCTGCAGCCCTAAAGGTTACATGAGAAATGTTATTTTTATAACTGGCCCATGGGAAAATGAGTATTAGCCAATCTTTCTAAATAATATTCTCTCTTCTTCATTCCAGAGATCATTAATCAGCCTATCTAGGATATTTTTTCTTTAATGTGAAGGTCTTGTTATCAGGGAAATTCAACCAGTGAGAATGACTTCAAAAGAACAAAACAACAAATGGTGGTATGGTACAAAAGGAACCCTCATTCACTACTAGTGGAAATGTAAATTGGTTTAGCTTCTATGGAGAACAGTATAAGAAATTCTCAGAAATTAAAAAAAAAATGAATCTATTGTATGATCCAGCAACTCCATTCATAGGTAAATATCCCAAAGAATACAAAAACACTACTCCAAGCACACCTATGTCCACTGCAGTGCTATTAACAATAGCTTATCTATGGAAATAAGCCAAGTGTCCAACAACAGATAAGTGGATAAAAATAGTGAAATTGCATTGCAGCACTGTTTACAATAGCCAGAATTGTAGGAAAAAAACCTGAGTGCCCAAGAACAGACGACTGGTTAAAGAAACTTTGGTACATCTACACAATGGAGTACTATGTAGCTGTTAGAAAAGATGGAGTCATTAAAGTTACATACAAGTAGTATTACATAGAAAGTATCATGTTAAGTGAAATGAGTCAGAAAGACAGGGATAGACATAGAAAGATTGCATTCATCTGAGGAACATAAAGGTAAATGCCCTCCCGTTGTTCGTCGATTTGCTCGAGCGGGCCCAGTAACGTCTCCATTGGAGACTTTGTTGTTACTGTGTTTGGCGTATCGAATACGTCACGGGGAGCTTGCCAGGCTCTGCCGTGTGGGCGAAATACTCTCAGTAGCTTGTCAGGCTCTCCGAGAGGGGCAGAGGAATCGAACTCGGGTCGGCCATGTTGGCTGCATGCAAGGCAAACGCCCTACCACTGTGCTATTGCTCCAGCCCTCTGAGGAACATAAAGTAACAAAATAGGAGACTAACACCCAAGAATAGCTGAGATTAGTACCAGGAGGTTTACTCCATGTCTTGGAGACCAGCCACACATGCTAGGGGACAAAGGCAGCTCAGATAGAGAAGGGAGCACCAAATAAAGGGTACTGGGAGGATCCTCCCAGGATGGGAGAAGCATGCTGACAGTAGACTATAGACCAAACATGACTGCCACTCAATGCCTCTTTTGCAAACCACAGTACCCAAAAGGATAGAGAGAACAAAAGGGAATTCCCTGCCACAGAGGCAGGGTGGGATGGGGGGATGGGTGTGGGAGGGATACTGGGATCCATGGTGGTGGGAAATGGGCACTAGTGGAGGGATGGGTATTTGATCACTGTATAATTGAAACCCAAGCACAAAAATTTGTAAGTCTACAACTGTACCTCATGGTTTTTCACAAATAAAAATTTTTTAAAAATAGTGAAATTGTACATTTACACTTATAAACCATTATGAACTAAATAAAAATATTTTGAAAAGACCAGGAGCTATTGAATATTTATGAATGAACATATATGATTACTAAAAATTATTTATAAGGGGTTGAAGGAACTACCCTTCCTACCCAGAGAAAACATGGTTGCTTATGAAGCTCCTGATCACCATAATAACAAAGTGACGGGAAAGGAAATTTGAAAGATTAGTTATAAACTTTTTATAAGTAATGGAAATATAAAATAAAGGAAGTAAAAATAGGAACTGAAACTCCATTTTAAACCATCCAAACTTAAAATCACTTCGATAAAACAATTTTAGCTATTCTTATAAACATGTAGTCATTTTTTCAAAAAGTATGAGGGAATCTATATTATGTAATATGGTGCACACCAAAATTAGCCAAGAAGAAAAGTCTATAGTCACCATTCCAAATTCCTGAAGCTGCCCAAATGAACTAAGCATTAATTCTTAGATACCTAATTCTGTGGCAAGGACCATAGCTGCTATGAATAAAGAGTGCCGGGGGGGGCGGGGGGACAATAAAAGGACTAATGAAATTAGGTTTATGAAAGGATCTAGGTTCTAGGAAATAGTTTCTAAAAAGAATAAAATTTAAGACTGAATTTTTCAGTCAGTGGATAGAAAATGGACTCTTCAAGCATTCAAAGTAGGAATAAGTTGTACTGAACAAAAACAAAAAGCCCACAGAGAACATGTCTTGTGCTGAGAATTCCAAGTAGTTTACAGTGTTCCCTATGCTGCTGGGCAGGGAAAGGATAGGGATAAACTGATAAGGTTCTCAGGTCATATTCAGGGCCCAGTATATGGCAAACTGATCATCTGAACACAGGCACAGTCAGCAGAAGTTTTAAAGCACAAAGGCCTCCCCCACGCCAAGAAGCCCATGTCTTCTCCTAAACATGTCTGTCTCTCTCTGTCTCTCTCTGCCTCTCTGTCTCTCTGCCTCTCTCCGTCTCTGTCTGTTTCTCGTTCTCTCTCTTTCCCTCTCTCCCCCCTTCATATCTCTCTAAATTTCTTTAAATACTACTATTTTACTTTTTTTAAAAGTTTTAAAGCACACAGGGATATAGTTATATTTATCTACATTGGAAAGTATCACTCTATTGGTAATCCAAACTAAGACTGAAGCATAAAGAGGAGGCACAAGTAAAGTTCAAAATATTGACGATATCCACACCAAAAAATAGCAGTAAGAACTAAAAGTAGGAACTAAAAGAGTTTAAATCTATCAAGATTTAAAATGATGTGTGCCGAAGGATAAAAAAGACTTCTGAGAGTTTGGAGGAGTAACAGTTTTTCTGTAGAGCATGCAGTCAACCTAAACAATGCCCCTATTAAGTAATTCAGAGTAGAGGAATACACTCAGTTTTATAGTGTCAAACTTAAAGTGCTACCGACTTTCTATCTACTAGGTCACTTTAGAATGAGCATTCTGAATGAGTATTCAGGACGAGTATTCTAGCGAGAAAACAGGCACCAGCAGAAGCTGGGATGCACCTGCATGTTACAAAGAGCCTAGATAACTAAGATTCAGGATGCTCAGAGTTATCACCACGTAGTTCTTTAATGTACAGACCTCTGGCATGTTTTCTGATATTTTCCTTTGTTTCCATGTCTTTAGTATCATAAAAATAGCTTTTAAAAACCACATAGTTGGGGTTGGAGCGATAGGACAGTGGGTAGGGCATTTGCCTTGCACATGGCCAACCCATGTTGGTTCAGTACCCAGCATCCCATATGGTCTTCCAAGCACTGCCAGGAGTGATTCCTTGAGTGCAGAGCCAGGGGTAACTTACCCTTGAGTATCCCTGGATGTGACCCAAAAAGAAAAAAACAAACAAAAAAAAAACAATAAAAACACATAGTTGCATAAAATAATTCTTAACTTCTTTACAAACCTTCTCCAGTGTAAACTAATGACCAAATATAAACTGCAGCTGTAATCTTCAAAGCCAAGGACTCTAGACTCAATCGATGAGTGACGCAGAAACTGAGCAAACCAATATAATAAAGGTTAACTCTTTGATATGCCAATATAAGCCATCAAGTAAACCACATTACTTAAAACACATCACAAAAGTTGACAGACAACATACCAAGTTACTCACCAGGCCTTTGAACCCGTTCCAGTACACAAATTGAGCCCTGAACTCTTCTGTTTCTCCCATGGACCATCATCAACTGAGATCTCATAGTAGGAAGCCCTATGAATTAAGAATATAAAACTGAATTTGCATGGCTCATGGATCACAGTAAATAAAACCTGGGATATTTTCAGAAATAGTGAATTCTAAATTGGCCAGTTTGGCTTGCACATACCTGACATAACTGGTGTATCAATATGCTAATCCTAATATTGTACATGTGAAAAGAACATATAACTATCTTTCTTTGATCTATGTTCCTTTATATCAATACTAATATGTCAAAATAGGGGCTTCAAAAATAAATATTTTAGCACTGCTGCTATTGCTTTTATGAAATCTAGTCAATATATTACTTAGAATTTAAGAAGAAAAATATCATTTTTACATGAATTTCACTCTTGGTCATTAGTTTCTGAGATATCTGAGTTTGTTAACTAATTCTTCAAGTTATAAGTAATTTCTACTGAAGCTCTTTCTTAAAATATTCATAAATACACAAAAATTTATATTCCTTAGAGTAGTTCATTAATGGGCTTTCTGACATGCAAAACTGATACTATTTCTTTAACTACAAAGATGTATAAATCTGCAACTATTCAAAGAACTATGGAAACAAGTAAGTTATTTTGTAAATTGAGTCTTAAAAATTAATGGTGTCACTGATCAAAATTGGGTTGTTTTTCTCCACTAAACAAAAAGTTAAAATAAAATCTTAATAAAATATAGCCTTTCAAAAATAAGGTCAATTACTAGACAGTCTCTCAAACACTGGCATCATATGAATAATGCATCTCTTATTCTAACCCTTTCAATTTTTCCTACCAGACTCTTTAATCTGTGAAGGTTTTACATGATACAATTCCTTTTCATTTTTTCCTCTGAAGTCAGCATTCATAAACGTAGAAGATAGAAGTTCTAATATCAACATTTAGTCTACTTCATAGTTTTGTTATATGTTCTAGATAATACGAAATTTGAGGCACATTAGGAGCCTAAGGTCCATACGAATGGCTGCTATTATGCTAGAATCACATAGACATAAAAGTGATTAGGGGTAAGTGGGGATAAAAGAGAAGCAAAGGTGATGAGGAAGAGAAGAAGAGTCAGGTGAAAGATGTTGAGCCCAAAACAGTGAGCGAATTTAGTGTCATTCTCACATGCAAGTTTATCTAGATTAGTCAACTCAGAGCAGGATTTCTGTTTCAGGGAAAGTATTTTTTTAAGGCAGCAATAAAACTCACAGTCCCTTTAGAGTGGGTATACTTCTTCTTAAATTGTCCACTGCTACAGCCCAAGAATAAGACATTCTAGGTTAGAACAAATAGGAGAAAAGAGAAATAATTGGGCTTTTAAAATGTTCTTAAAATCTAAGAACATTATAAATGAGGCAGGAATAATATTGCTGCACATTGTATTTTCCAAGAAAAGCTAAACTTCAAAGTTTTCAGGGCACATTGAAGCCTCAATATATAACCTGGAATTAGAGCTAGAGTTTATAAGATAGTTCTGATGTTAATGATTTATCTAACCTGGGGTAAATTAATTGAACTCTCCAAATTTCATTTTTTCCTCTAATAAATATAACTATCTTTCTAATAGGGTAACTAAGAATTAACTGTGAGGATAAAAACTTTCACAGTGCCTGGCTCATAGAAGGCATCCATTAAAGGTCCCTTTCTGCCTAGAAATCTATTATCACAAAATACTTTACAATAAATTTTAAAACTTCCAACAGTTAAATCTTTTGAATAGCACCAGAAACTAGCCCAGTGCTGTCCTTATCTTCCTAATGATATGAGGTACCAAAGAAAACGACAAGCAGCAGCATTAGACATTATTTAGGAGATGAACCAACAGATCACTTATGCCGTAAGAAATAAGAGCAACCAACCTAAAATCTCCCAATGGGATTTCACAGAATTCTCAAGCTCATAACTTGTTTCATTTTTTTACTTCTTCTATAAGTTATTTTACTTTTCAGTAAGTATAAATTATTTTTAAAAAAGCTTATGGAAGCGTTTGAAACTTTCTACCTTTAAAATAAACAAAATAATATAAGCCATTAAGTGGCTTCCCTAGAATAAGCATAAACTCACAAAAGTTTTACCTTTGTCATCTATTTATTTTAATGAAGACATTCTCCAATCTCATTTAAAGTTGTTGCTCTCTTCTGTCTTAAGTCTTTAGCAATAATGACTAGATTATATCACTAATTATTTAGTTTCTTCTCACTTTTCTCACATTAAAGTATCCATTATTCATTTCCATATTGCTTCAAACTTGATATATGGCAAGAGAAAAAACTTTATATATAGCATAAATTTTACTATGTTAAAATAACATACTTTTATACTTTATTATAGTTTAAGTTCTTTAAAGAATATATATATTTCTTTAAAGAAAAAATCTTACTTTTAATTTTATGATTATGTATGTTATCACCCTCCAGAAAATTAGACACAACTACCTTTCTCTTATTCATTTTTAGATCCCCAGTGATTCACATTTTATACAGAGCAGGAGCACAGTGTATTTTTCACTGACTAAAAATCACATTAATCAGGATAATCACAATAATTCTATTTAAATCACTGTATAGAATCAGGCTTTATGCTTTTATGCATTGGCTAGAACTTAGATTTAACCAAGACAAACTTTTCTCAGAGTAACAACCAAAACTGCAGATTACACAGACTTAGCAAACTAAGGAATCAGCAGCAGGGTGGCCAAAAGGTCACATGTACACAGAGCAGGGACATGGGGCATGCACATATTTTTAATTATCTACCCCTAGTTTATTTTTTCACAAAAATAAAAAGGCAGATTCTAAAGTGCTGCCAAGAATTAAATTAACTTTATTTTAATGGCAGTTATTTGGTAATGGTTCCAATATCACCAACAACGTTTTGCAAGAACATTTTGATAGTTAAAACCTAATTATATTCAACATGACGACAGATTCTGGCAGTGCTAAAACATTATGTTTTTACACTCCTAATGAAGAATTTTATTAACCCTGATTTTGTTTAAGGTTGTTACAGATATTAAACTATAAATACACTTGTCTTATGCTGTTATACTGAGAACACCAATAGCACCTATACAGTATTCCTGCCCAAAACGTCAAGTCTGAATCTAATTGTGCAGAGAAAATAAAACCCATGATCAGGGATATTCTTCTGCAAACCAAATAGATAGGTCATTCAAAAATATTTATATCATAACAAAACAAGGATGAGGCAAAGGGGCTATTCTTAATTCTAAAAGGTCATGATGGTCAAAAGTAGTATGTGATCCTTATTTGGATTTTAGATAAAAAAGGAAATAAACAAGTCAGAGTTAAAAGACAATGATAAAACAATAAGTAGGGAAGTTTTCATGCAGATGGTTTATGAAAGATCTGTATCAATTTGAAAACATATACATAGTAAACATTTATAAAGTACATATATAGAAATCTGCGTAACTGTTTATCCTAAGGCTTTACTAATTTCTTGGTCACAGAACCTTCTTTCCTCAACACATACCAACTTTTATGAAGGCTTTTAAGAATTTTACTTAAAATGTATTTCTATTTCTTACACAGTATTATTCACAAATCTTAGGCAGGTTACAGAAATTGAATAAAATCTTTTTTTAAAATATCAAAATAACAAGTTCCCAACTCAAAATCACAGGTTTAAAAGTACCTTGAGGACAGACTTTCCCCAATAAAGACTTCATTAAGGGCTCTCACTGGCAAGAGTTGGGGTCCTGAAGCCTCAGACGCTGCTGACAATAAAAACAAAAATCCAAAATAGTTATTTTAATTTTAGAAATGTTACAATATAAACTACAGAAAACACTTAGAAATGCATATTTTAAGAGAATCATATACTTTACATTAACATATACACATTTAAAAATATTTTATTATAAAGCTCAGTATAAAAAAGAAATAAATAAACTTTTATTTCAAGTAAAGAAATTTTTTTAAAAGAGAGAGAAAAGAAAATGTGCTCAGGAGAGAATACGAGCTTCTCCAGATATGAAGGAGCCTTATGAATGAAAGAAAAAAATTACACATTTAGCACAGTGGGTAGGGCATTTGCCTTGTACACAGCCAACATGGCCAAGCCAGGTTCGATTCCTCTGCCCCTCTCGGAGAGCCCAGCAAGCTACCGAGAATATCTTGCCCGCACGGCAAAGCCTGGCAAGCTACCCGTGACGTATTTGATATGACAAACACAGTAACAACAAAGTCTCACAATGGAGACTCACAATGGAGACGTTACTGGGCCCGCTCGAGAAAATCGATGAACAATGTGAGGACAGTGACAATGGACAGTGACAAGTTGGGATGAAGACAACTGTAGAATGGAAAGCCCATCAAACAACTTTTAAAGAATAATAAAATCCACTTAGCAATCCCATAAGACTCTTGTTATTACACTTGACTTACACATAACTGTGTAAGTTTTAGAAATGGGATGAGTCAAGTACTTCCAAAAAAGCCATTTGGGATTTCAGTAGCAAATTATGTTCATGGCTCCCGTAGGAAACAAAAGCAATTACACCACAGATCTTCCTCCTCCCCCAGATATAAAAACCTGTAGAGTATCTGAATTAAGAGTACCACTGGAGAAACACTGCCATGTATCTTTTCATGACTTTTAAGCAATTTGATCTCTTCTTATTTACTCTATTAAATTGTAGGCTCAGCTTATGAATCTTCCTTGATGGTTATTTATACAACATCCTATCACACAAAATTCTTCAAGCCACTGCTTTCTGACTCAAACTTGTGGCCATCATCTTCAAAAAGTTTCCTTTGCCTTGTTATCCTTTATCAAGCTACAAATGAAAAAACTCAACCCCCCAGTTTCTCAATATCACCAACAGTGACACTGAACCCAAGTTTCTCCTACCAGGCAAGCACAACTGGAAATGTTCCCTTTTCTGTTTCCTCCATCCTCTCTACTAAGTCCACCCAACTGTAGTTGCCAGTCTCCAAGATGATCCTCAGTGGTCTTGCCTCCTTGTATTCGCATTTTGTGCAACATTTCATACCACATCACACTCTGTTGGTGAATAAACTTTTATTTCTACGTGACCAACAGACTCTGGAAGTGAGGGTATGTCAATTATGAGAGACATATCGATTTCTATTTCTGACTCTTTCTCTCAAATCACATGCTTTGGGAAAACAGAGTTCATCATATTTTTATAGAGACCAGCATGGTGAGGACCTAGTCTCTTGCTAGGCACCAGGTGATGAGCCGGGAAGCAGATGTCCCAGCCAGGTGTTCAAGTAAGTAACGCTGTCTCTGTCAACAGCATCACTGTCACCCACTGAGAGATACTAAACCCAAATTCAAAAAGCTAAGCTACACGTGAATCTTTTGGTTGTTGCGGGGAGGGCGGGTGTCACCCAAATGGAACTCAGGAGGCCCAGGCGATTCTGAGAATCTCCCAGTGGTTTTCAGACTACTGGGACAACATTTCAATGCAAGGGCCCAAGAATATGGTGCTAATTCAGGCTCTGTGGTTTCAGGGACTACCAGGCCACCCTCCAGGGCTACTCCTAGCAATGATAGGGGGACCATGTGGTGGCAGGGATTTAATACAGTGCGCCCTGTGCAAGAGTATGTGCCTTTACCCTTCTGTTCTCTCTCTGGCCCTCCACTCATGAATTCTTAACCTTCACAATCTCTATGAAATTATAAATATTTATGTTTAATGATGGCAATTGATGAGCAACAGGATGATCATGATCGTGATGCTAAATTTAAGGTTAAAAACTTATGCAGCAACAAATTTCTGATATGAATTAGACACATAAACCAAAAAGTTCCACAACTGTCATCAAAGCAATCACTGATCTAACATCCTCCTGAATTGTTTTCCTGATCAGGTTATTTTCATGCGAATACATATGTCATACCAGGCATCCTCTCAAACCACAATGCCATGAAGGCACAAATGAACCAGAAAAGAGAATGGAAGAAAAAACCCAACAAGTAGAAACTAAAACACTACTAAGTAACAACTGGATCAAAAAAAATCAAAGAGGATATAAAAAGATTCACGGAAACTAATGAGAACAAAGCAAGAACCTATCAAAATTTGTTACCACAGCAAAAGATGAAGCAAGGGAAAAATTCATAGCAATACAAAGAAAAAAAGCTCAAACATAAACACACAACTTAAACATCTGGAGAAGCAACAACAAATTAATTCCAAAACTAGTATAACAAATAAAAGCTAAAACTAGCCATAATAAAAATTAGAATAGGAATTAGTGATATAGAAATCAAGAAGGCAATATATAAAGAATCAATGAAACTAGGAGCAGGATCTGAAAAAAATAAACAAGAAAGACAAACCTTCGGCTTGATGCACAAGGGAAAAAAACACAAAATGCCCAAATAAGCTGGATCAAAGACAGAAGGAGAGAAATTACAACAGGCCCCTCAGAAAATCAAAAAAATCATAAGAGGTTACACTAAACAACTGTATGCTGTTAAGATGGAGATGGCCAGATTGTTATAACCATGTAACCCTCTAGAAACTGAATGAGGAGGAAAGAAAAAACTAGAACAGGCCAATCACAAGCAAGGAAACTGAAACAGTAAATAAGAATCTCCCCCGCAAGGACAAAAGTTCTGGTCCATATGGATTCACTGGTGAGTTTTATTAAACCTTCATGTAAGACTTACTAACTTTATTCTTTACGCTCTTCAAAAATATTGAAGAAATAAGAATCCTTTCTAATAGATTGAACAAAGCCAATATTATACTAATAACTAAGAAGATAACAGACACTATTAAAAAGAAAATTTCAGACCAATTATCCTAATGAATACTGATGCAGAAGTCCTCAACAAAATATTAGTGAACCAAATCCAAAACATATCAAAAAGATCATTACAACACAATTAAGTGGAATTCATTAGGGATGCAAGGATGATTCAAAATGTGCAAATAAATAAAAATAATACACATCAATAAAAGGAAAGATAAAAATCATATAATATCAATAAATGAAGAGAAACTTCCAAGAATATACAACATTTCTTTATGATTAAAAAAGCCTCCACAAAACAGGGGTGTAAGGAAGCTTCCACAAAATAGTAATAGCCATCTATAACAAACCAACATCCAGTATCATTCTCAATGGTGAACAACCACAGAGGTCTCCTCTGAGATCAGGCACAAAGCAAGGAAGAGCACTGTCTTCACTATTACTCAGTATAGTCTGAGAACACAATTATGCAAGAAAAATAAATCAAGGGACTCAAATCAAATTTGGAAAGGGGAAAGGAAGAAGTCAAATTATCATTATTTACAGATGACAGAGCCCCAGCAGCTGAAGAACTCCAGGACCAGCCACAGTCATGCTTAAGACCACTCTCCACACGCTCGTATGAGCCTCACGCATAAAGGAACTGGCAGAGGAACCCAGGTATGCGGGATCTAGGGCTGAGATCTCCAAGCTTGCTCGGATTGGGACTGGGTTTCCTCCACCCAGATCCTCCATCTTTCAGTACTAGGCAGCTACACCCACCAACTGCCCCCAGAACCGTGTAATCCCATCACGGCCAAAATCCAGAGACTATAAAACCTAGCTCCCAGAAGCGCAATCTCTCACTGTCTCGTTCTTGCTCTCAGAGAACCCAGCAGGCTACTCAGAGTATCCTGCCTGCAGGGCAGAGTCTGGCGAGCCCTCCATGGCATATTCAATATGCCAAAACCCAGTAACAATGATGGATCTCATTCCCCTGACCCTAAAAAGAGCCTCCAATGTGGCACTTGCTAAAATCTCAGGGCTAGGATGAATGGAGACGTTACTGGTGACTGCTCGAGGAAATCAATGAACAATGGGATAACAGTGATATAGTGATACAGATAACATGATAATATACATAGAAAACCCTAAAGAATCCACTAAAAAGTTCCCAAAGACAATAAGCCAATACAGCAGAGTAGTCGGCTACAAAGCCAACCAACTGATAGTAATCTGTAGCATTCCTGTAAGCAAATACAGGAATTTGTTTGTAAGCAAAACAGAAAAGAAAGCAACTGGAGTCCATCCCACTTAAAATAGTGTCCAAAAACATCAAGTGTTTAGAAATCAACTTAAAAAAAAAGGTCGGGGATCTATACTATAAAGACTGAAAAAGAAACATTTTAAAAAGAGATAGAAAACCTTAGGAAAGGAAAAATATGCAGTGCTCTTAGATAGGAAGACTCAATATTGTCTAAATGACCATCCTACCTAAATTACTATATAGATCGAACACAATCCACACCCGAAATCTGATGATACCCTTAAAGAAATAAGAATGTCGATAATAAGGTTTGTATGGAGTCATAAACCACCTTGAATAGCCATAGCCATATTGAGAAATAAGGAATTGGGAATTCTCTCATCACCTAACTTGAAACTAAACTTTAAAGCCAGAGTGATCACAATAGCATGGTATTGTAATAAGAATAGATTCTCTGAACAATGGGTTAAAACCAAGTATTTAAAGGCAAATTCCAAGATCTATGGTCAACTAATTTTTGATTAAGGAATTAGGCACATGGAGTAAAGATCATCTCTTCAAGAACCAATGCTGGAAAAATGAGGCAACCGCATCTAAAAATTGAAACTCAACCCATATCTCACACCTTACACAATAGTCAACTCAAAGTGGATCAAAGACCTTGAGATCAGACCAGAATCCACAAAATATATCAAGTAAAACATCAGTAAAATGCTCCAAAATCTTAATCTCAAAGTTGTTTTCAATGACATGCTTCCATTACCAAAGGCAACAGAAACAAAAATAAATACATGGGATTTCATTAAAGATGTTCCTAGATGACCAAAGAAACAGTCTCAAGCTGGACAGATAGTACAGCAGGTAGGGGACTTGCCTTACATGCGGACGACCAGGGTTCAATACTGACACTGCATGTGGTCCCTGAGCCCTACCAGGAGTGACCCAGAGAGGAGAGTTGAGAGTGAAGAGGGCCAGGGAGAGGGAGGACTATGAATAACTATGTAAATCACAGTGCCCTAACATTTTAAATGCAAAAAAAAATAATTTAATTAAGTACATATAAACCATCCACTTATATATTTTATCATCCATTCCTATTCGATTTTAAAAACTATACTAGAAAACATCTTTTCTAAGAAATAGCTATATTTACTACTTCAAATATCCTCATACTATGTTTTACAATTGATATAGTTCACTCTGCTTTTGTTAGTATTGCCAGTGATACTAACATTCCAGAATAAATAAAATATAGTTAGTTCTAAAACTTACAAAAGCAGTGTATACTAAACATTATCTCAAACCTACTTTCGTCATGAACTCTCTCAACATCGAGGGCTCTATTATGTTGATTCAAACTTAGCTGTTGTTCATGAAGGTCCACAGGAACAGGGTTTATGCCAGTCCCTTCAAGGTATAACCTAATTCGCTGCCGCCATAGCCACCTTCGAAAAGTGAAGGAAAAACAAGTTATGTTAAACTATGACAAGTTCAACTAAGGATTAGCCATCACAATTTCACCAAAATTTAAAACACATTAAGAAAGGCACATCAGGAACAAAGAGTGCAAATTCCTCCACCTCAAAGACAGATTTAGATTTCTTCCCCTTTCAGTAGCGTAAATCACGGTCACAGTCACGGTCCTCCCGTTGTTCATCAATTTGCTCAATGCGGGCCCAGTAACATCTCCATTGTGAGACTTGTTGTTACTGTGTTTTGGCATACTGAGTAGCGTAAATATTTGTATAAAATCTCTCAAGTGATCTGAACCACAATCAAACTCTCTACCAATTATTTATTATATCTAATATACTGAGCTATTTATAATTGTTCTTTTTCTCTGAAATAAAAGTTATGTTAAGGTAATGAAACTAGATAAAAATACCTCCTCCTAAATTTTGTGATGTTTTACAAAAACAGGTAAGTATCAATAACAAATACTATAATCTTCAAGATTATATATAAAAATTTAAATGGATTGCTTTTCTTTTGAGTTTATGGGGTAGGGGGTGCTAAAGCCTACTCCCAGTTAGGTGCTCAGAAAGAATAAATGACAGGCTTGATTTCAAAGTGAAAATCTAAAATATAAAAAAACCAATAGGGTAGATTCTCCTAGACAAGTATACAAAAACATGCTGCCATTTAAAAGTCACGTGTCAGCAATTTCCAGCATGCCAATTTTTTGAAATGATTAGGAACTAGACTCATTATGAATAAAATGATTCCAGAAGTCAATACAAATTAACAAATATCCAGGGAGAAATGATCTGCACTGTGGCACTCCCATTGTTCATCGGTTTGCTCAAGTGGGCCCAGTAATGTCTCCAACGTGAGACTTGTTGTTACTGTGTTTGGCATATCAAATATATCACGGGTAGTTTGCCAGGCTTTTCTGGGCGGGCAAGATACTCTCAGTAGCTTGCTGGGCTCTCCGAGAGGGGCGCAGGAATTGAACCCGGGTTGGCTGCGCCAGCTGCATGCAAGGCAAATGCCCTATTGCTGTACTATCGCTCCCTATAAAATCTTGCCCAATTCAGGAAATAAAAAGTATTCCAACTTGGCTCTCTCTGACATACCCTGCAACCTCATTCGGCCTTTCCTTTCACCTTCCACCTTCTTTGGATGGCCTCCTGCTCCTTTAAGCAAACAGAAGATGAAAAGACACTCCAATATTTAAGAAACACTTGATACAGAAATTCAGCCAAGTTAAAGTAAACATAACCCGGGGCGAGAGTGATGGTACAATGAGTAAGGCATTTGCTTTGTATACCGCTGACTGGGTTTGATCCCCAGGATCCTATATGGTCTTCTGAGTATCATCAGAAGTGATTTCTGAGTGTAGAGCCAGGAGTAACCCCTCGGCATTGTCAGGGGCCACCCCAAAAGCCAAATAAATAAGTAGGTAAATAAATAAATAAAGTAAACATAATCCTTAGTCATTCTCTGATTAGGAAAAGAGGAAGATAAAAATCAAGAGAATTTAAACATGTATTTTAGTTTTAACTATCTTTGCACCAAACTCCTAAGAACATATTACAGAGCTGAGATAGTGGGACTATCTATCTCAGTCAATGAGAAAAACAAACAAAACACTCTAGTTGCAAATACAGTGGCATCTGTCAATTTTCCTTTATACAGCTCTAAATGGACTAAAATAAGGCCAGTTAGATCTTTTTAGAATTTGGTTAACATATTACATTTTATGGTTTACTGATATAGCTATGAACTAATGCAAATATTACCTAATTTGACGTTTAACAGCATTTTATTTATTTTAATTTGGGGTCCACCCCCAACAGTGCTCACAGCTTACTCCTGGCTCTGCACTCAGGAATCACTCCTGGCAGAACTCAGGAGACTATATGGGATGCCAAAGACAGAACTCAGGTTGGTTGCAAGCAAGGCAAGTGTTTTACCTGCTGTACCATCTCTCCGGTCTGCTTAATAAAATTTTAATGATATATATTTAAGTGACATATCGCCACTAACAAATTCCTACCTGAATTCACCACGATAGAACTTCTGTAAGGCTTCTGGGAAGGAATGTGTGTACCGAACCGGAAGACATAAGTGACCCTCAGACCTTTATTTTAAAAAAGATTTAGGGAGGGTATAAAAGGGAAGGGAGAAAAAAATTAAGTTAGCACTAAAGCACAAAAATCAAATATAAAATTTTAATTTTCTACTTTTTTAATTATAAAATTGTATTTTCAACAAGAGCAAAAAGGATCAACTAGAAAAAACTTTACGTATAGCTTTAATGTCACACTCCAAGTGAATTCAGAAAAATGTAGCACTGTAGCACTGTCCTCCCGTTGTTCATCAGAAAAATGTAACCCAATTAATTAATTTATTAAAAAAAGAGTGAATTTATTTAAGAAGTTAGCAATTTGTTGTAGAAGACAAATATTAAAACAAATAATTGCAAATCAGAGTGGTGAGATTATATGCACCAGCTGGCACTCTGCACTGACTCTCAGCAGAGGTCTCAACTCCCTCCATGGGATCTTCTCAGTGTTCCCAGGTACCCTCACTGGGTAGGGTGACCCCAGTAGGAGCCAGGTAAGTGACCACTAGAGAACCTGCAATGCCATTTATAACCTGTTGCTGCCATCCACAACCAAGCCATATTGAACTGGTCACAAAGCCTCATTAAATCCTGATCGGCCAACATAAAGGTATACAGAGCAATAGACTGCTTGCCCCATGCCCTCTATCTTTGACTGTTAAGCATTCAAATTGTTTGATTATTTGCCAGGCTCAGTATAGTGCAGAATACAGAATACATCCACAGAAACAGCACATTTAATTTAGATGAGTCCATGTGAGTCATCGTGGATTTGGTCTTCCTGCTTCAATCAAGCCTCCAGAAGTTTGCAACTCCAGCTGACATGTGACTACAACCTCATCAGAGCTCCCAAGCCAAAACCACCCAGCCAAGCTGCTCCTGAATTCTGGACACATAGAAAACCATAAAAGAAAATTGTAAGTGATTCCTACTGTTTTCAACCTCTAAGTTTATGATTTGTTATACAGCGTTCGATAACTAATACAGCGAAGAAGAGACTTAAATTGGACATTAATTTCTGGGATTAAAGATTCTAAGGTTCTATGATACTTAAGAAAAAGAAGACAAGCAATTTGAATTACAGAACAAAGTCAGAGGCTTAATCCATTTCTCCCTGGAAACAAGTAGAAAAAACAGAGAACTTGTAAAACCAATTATTCTAGCTAGAAATCAGAAAAAACACCACCATCTGCCTGCCAGTTTCAAAAACTCCACAAGCTTAAGAATATTAGGCTTAAAAAAACTTTTTTAAAGGAAACTGTATTTTGACAAACTACAAAATATGATGACTTCTATTAAGATTCTCTTACGTTAGGGGGTTGGAGACATAGTAGATAACACACTTGCTTTGCATGGCCCTATGAGCAAAGCCAGGTGGAATCCAAACCTCCCTCACAAAACCTCTTGAACGATATAAATAAATAAACAGTCAAGAAGTTATGACATACAAAGGTATAAATATTTGTATTTTATAATACAATAAAAGGCAATAAAAAGCTAATTACTGAACTAATTCAACTGCTTACTCTCAGGAAATAATAAATAACTCAGCTAGATTCAGGTCCTGGCCCTGCTTTCTAAGACTGTCAAAAGCTTATTGCACACTACATTTAAGATTGTGTTAGTAATGCTTTACAATACAAAGTTCTACACTTAAGGAATGTACAACCTAATAGACACAGAAAATAAAGCGCTAAGAACTCTCTACAGGGAATTATAATTAGAGCCCAGGAGACAAACCAGTCTTACGTGAATAAGAATTACACAACTAAAGTGCATAAGAACACTGTAGGCAAAATCATGAAAAGGCATGAAAAAAAACAGGGGCACTAAAGAATTCTTTCAAATCCTATTTTTGGGGCCACACTCAGCAGTGCTCAAGTCTTACTCCTGGCTCTGCCCTCAGGGATTTCTCCTGGCAGGATCAGGGGACCATATGTGGTACTTAGATAAAACTCAGGTCAGCTGTATGCAAAGCAAAGGCCCTACCCTCTATATTAGCATTCCAGCCCCTCAAATCCTATCTTAAATATTAACAAAGTTCGGCACCAGAGCAGTTTCTCTACCCACAAGAATAACTACCTAATCATGATGTTAGAAAATGTAGTTTTATTGCATCTGCACTTAAGAACAGTCATTGGGATAGAAAGCTAGTAGATAGGTAAAAGGTGATTGCCTTACAAGCAACTGACCCTTGTTCAACCCCCAACACTGCCAAGAGTAATGCTGAGCAGAGACCTTGGAGTGGTCCTGGGCACTGTCAAGTGGAACCCACAAAATGTTTAGATTGGGGCTGAGAATTTGAATGAAGATAGGATGATGGTACAGATTTTGTTGTACGATAAATACTAGAGATGTAATGAATATTTGATTCTACAACTATCCCTTGGACAACACAGAAGTTAGGAATGCCCATTGAGTTGAAAATTCTATCACTGTATCACTGTCATCCCGTTGTTCATCGATTTCCTCGAGCAGGCACCAGTAATGTCTCCATTCGTCCTAGCCCTGAGATTTTAGCAGGTGCCATATTGGAGGCTCTTTTCAGGGTCAGGGGAATGAGACCCATCATTGTGTCTGGGTTTTGGCATATCAAATATGCCACAGGGAGCTTGCCAGACTCTGCCGTTCGGGTAGGATACTCTCGGTAGCCTGCTGAGTTCTCTGAGAACAAGAATTAGACAACAAGAGGTCACATTTCTGGGAGCTTGGAATTATAGTCTTTGGACCTTGGATATTGATGGAATTACGTGGCCCTGGGGTCAGTTAGTGGGTGTAACTGTCTAGCTACTGGAATATGGGGGATCTGGGTGGAGGAGGCCCATATTCCAGAAAACTCCATGTGACCAAAAACTTAAGATCCTCCAAAAGTCAGAGACAAAGTAGTCATAGAGATAAGACAGGAGTTATAGAGAAGGAAGAGAATACAATAAATGTTTAAAAGTATCCATGATAACTGTTAGCATTAAGAATTTTCCAAGGGCCAGGAAATCATACATGTGCCTGGCAAGCACCAATCTGAGTTAGAGATCTGAAACTACTCAGTACTCTGCAAGCATCACAGTGTAGCCTTGGAGGGCCCCAGCTACCACCAGGTACAACCCTGGGGCCTCCAGCACTGTGGGGATGTCCCTGATCCCCCCAAAAAGAGCATTTTCAAAGAACCAAGTGAAACAAACAAATCAAGTAAAACAAAAACTAAAATATCCAGAAAATTCAGCAATTACGATATCACTGGTCTTCTAAGGCAAGGACAATATGAATAAACTTGCTACAGATAAACAAAGGAGAGTGAAGAAAGAAGAGTTAAGACAAAGATAGAAAGGAGGGAAAAGAGAAAAGGGGGAGGGAAGAATCATGCTGGACAACTGATAGAAAAAGGGGAACAAATGACAGAGGCCATACCCAGCAGTGCTCAGGGCTTACTCCTGGCTCTGTGCTCAAGGATCCCTCCTGGAGGAGTTTGGGCAACCGTGTGTGGTATCAGGGATCAAGCCTGCACTGGCCCCATACAAAGTAAGTTTCCTAACCTCTGTACTTTCTCATTGGCCTGAGATTATCTTTCAAAGCAAGGGAACAGTTGAACAAGTTCTAATCCACTGAGATTCATTTTAGCTCTAAGACAAAGATTTATTAAAAGAACAAGGATGAGAAAAACAATTGTATGGAGCATGAGCAGTAACTTTTAGAACTAAAGAATGGGGATGAGAAATCACTTGAATCCCATAGAAAATTTTTTTAGTTTTCTATGAGTTCTAAGTACCAGGAATTACAAATTGGAAATAAATTTGGGCTACCAAAGTCCAAACTGAGCCACCGACTCCAAGTTTCTGTGACTCTTTACTCAACTGCTCTCAAGTGCTGATGTAGGAACAGAAAGCATGATAGGTTAATAGAAGACTGAACAGAAAGATAATCACACAAGATATTTAAGATATTCACCCAAGAGTGAATGAAGTGAGGGAGAATTAAGTGAAGAAAATGGGTCAATAAGTGAAAACTCAATAAACAGATTTAGTTGAGTTGAGGGAATAAAACTGCCATGAAAATAGAAGACAGTGATCAGTGCAGAATCAAGATTTTAGAGATGGGGAAATTCCAGATAATCTAAAAGCCAGATAAAGTCATGTATGTAGGTGGTTTAACAAGTATAATGATAAATGTCAGCAAAGCTAAACAGGTAATATAAAAAGTGTGTGTGTGTGTATATATATATATATATATATATATATATATATATATATGGCTCACACACATAAACAATGGATAAACAATGGAATACATTTTTCTTTACCGTTCTGGATCAGTGTTCACTCCAATAACTGGCTTAAGTCTGTCTAAGACTTTACTTGCTGCCAGAAGCATTGTACCATCACCTATAGGAATAAGATATCATCTTGTTATAAATCCAGTTTTAATACCATTCTGAACATGAGTACTTTTACTTTAATAATCATCCCTTATCCTCACTATCTTTTTATTTTCTTCAAAATTTTTATTGTGTCACCATGAGATGGGGGATACTGTCCTCCCGTTGTTCATCGATTTGCTCGAGCGGGCCCAGTAACGTCTCCATTGGAGACTTTGTTGTTACTGTGTTTGGCATATCGAATACATCACGGGTAGCTTGCCAGGCTCTGCCATGTGGGCGAGATACTCTCGGTAGCTTGCAGGACTCTCCGAGATGGGCGGAGGAATCGAACTCAGCTCGGCCATGTTGGCTGCGTGCAAGGCAAACGTCCTACCGCTGTGCTATCGCTCCAGCCCCACCATGAGATACAGAGTTACAAAGATATTCATGGTCAGGTTTTAGTCATACAGTGTTCCAACACCCATCCCTCCACCAGTGTACGTTTCCCACCACCAATGTCCCCAGTTTCTCTCTGCCACCCTCCTCCTAGATTGTATCTATGGCAGGCACTTTCCTTCTTTCTCTCTGTCTCTCTGTCTCTGTCTGTCTCTCTCTCTCCCTCCCTTTCCTGCCCCCTCTCTCTCAGTGAAAATCTTACTCCCTACCACAGTCCCTTTGCATTATCACTCCCACTCTAACCCAGGGTTTCTCAACAGCAGCAAGACTGACATTTTAGTACAGAGATCAAGGTGCTTGACTTGTATGCAATTGGCCCTGGTTCCGTCCCTGACACTGAGGGTCCACCCCAAGCACCATCAGATGAGGCCCCAAAATTCCCAAAGAAAACAACTGACTTTTTAGATCAGGTATGTCTAAACCAAGGGGTGCTATGCTGTGTACTATAGAATGCGGTAGGAACCCTTCCTAGGAACCACCTGTCCAATCCTACACTTCTATCAGTCAATCTTCTTTCCTTTTCCAATTTCCTTTTCTAAATTCATAAATTATTTGAATGAGAAATACCCAAAATGTTCTAGTTTAGATGTTACCAACCACCACTGTCAATTTTAAGCTTTAGAAAGAATGATTACTATTTTAGTAAAGCTCAAAAAAAAAATAAAGTAAGTATATGAGGTCAAAGAGGGATGAAATCTTTATAATCTCATTAAACTCAAGTTAAGCATAACTTAACCAAATTAGTAATTATAGTCATAGAAAGTCAATCAGATTTGAATGAAATACACACCTTAAAAACACACACAAGACTATATGCAGAGAATGTCACAATAATGTCATTTGTTACAAAAGTAAAACGCTGACCCAAATCACTAGATACGACCTTGTGAGCCCCCAAGCACTGCGGGGGTGGCACTGCAGTGCCCAAGCATAGCACTGCCAGGGCAAGAGCATCACCAGAAGTGGTACCATCCTCACCTCCCACCCCAGCACCACAGCAATGGTGCCTATTAGAAAAAAAAAAGAGGAAAGGAAAACTTTAACAAAGCACTATCTTTATAAACATAAACCTAATCCTAAAAAGCCCAGTTTGCCTTGTGGTTGGATTCTGACAGCGTCATTATATAACCCATGGGATACTTGAAAATATGTATAGTCAAGTATTAACATTTTCAAATCCCAACACCTTTATCTCTATAAAATGATTACCTCCTGCAGCTATGATGGCATCCGCCCATTGAACGGTCTCTTCATCATATTCTCTCCTCTTTACAAGACGAAACTCAATACCCTCGTTCCTAAGACAAAGAGTAAAGGTTACATAAATTTTTCACTTAACACAAAGGAATAAACTTCTACTTATCTGTAGGCATATAAATGCAACAGAGATATAAAACAAGTAAGTTCATTTTATAAATAAACTCATACTTAGCTTTATAAGGTTAGTTTCATTTTCATTGAATCACAACATACTTAACTATAAGCCAGGAAGCATATGAATATGCTCAAAGTTAATGACAATCCATAATCTCAAAGTCTATTTTAAAACATTTTATATTCTCTGGCAAATAGCAATATTGATTAATTAGAATTTATTTTTATTTTCTCTACTAATATGGAGCGATAGCACAGCAGGTAGGGCGTTCGTCTTACAAGCGGCCAACATGGCCGACCCGAGTTCGATTCCTCCGCCCCTCTCGGAGAGCCCGGCAAGCTACCGAGAGTATTCGATATGCCAGACACAGTAACAACAAAGTCTCCAATGGAGACGTTACTGGGCCCGCTCGAGCAAATCGACGATCAATGGGAGGGCCTTTATCTCTACTAAAATGCTTTACTAAATTGTATTGTTAAAATACATTACTTAAAAAATGAATCAGCCCAGAAAACTGATTTCCTAGAGAGACAATTTTTCATTCTAAAATTGAATGGCACTACTTTTAATTTGTGCTTTTTTTGGTTTGGGGGCCACACCCAGAGATGCTCAAGGCTTACTCCTGGCTCATCACTCAGGGATCACTCCTGGTGGGCTCAGAATTGAATCGGCTTCATGGGATAGCAAGAACTGAACCTTGATCTGCCACGTGCAAGGCCAACTGGCCTACCTGCTGTACTATCTCTCTGGCTCCAGCATTATTATGTCTTCTTAAGTTTTAGGTACCGTGGTTGATAATATTGTTAATGATAGGGTTTCATGCGTGAAACATTCCTGCATCACATCCTCCATCAAGAATACCCACTTCCCTCCACCATTGTTCTAGTGCCTTTGCCATCCTATTCCCAGCCCACATCCCCGCTGTGGTATGCTTCGTACTGAAGTCCAGGTCTCAGTTCCTATGCCTACTATGACACTTTACATCCCACACACAAAAAAAGGTTATTCTCTGTCTGTTCTTCTCCTTTTGACTAACCTTTCTCAGCATGATACTCTAGATTTAACATCAATTTCACGCATGATTTCATGTTCTCTAGCCAAGTAGTACTCTGGCTAGTAGTAGTAGTATATATATATATATATATCAGAGTATCTTTATCCAGTCATCTGTTCTTGGACACTTGGGTTAAGGTAAGGTAAAGGCCCTCCCGTTGATCGTCGATTTGCTCGAGCGGGCCCAGTAACGTCTCCATTGGAGACTTTGTTGTTACTGTGTCTGGCATATCGAATACTCTCGGTAGCTTGCCGGGCTCTCCGAGAGGGGCGGAGGAATCGAACTCGGGTCGGCCATGTTGGCCGCTTGTAAGGCGAGCGCCCTACCCGCTGTGCTATCGCTCAGACACTTGGGTTATTCCAAGATTTTGGGATAGACACTACTTTAAATTCAGTTCATGGTCACTGAATTCCAGTCACTAAAACAATGCTTAGGAGTCTTTCTAATTTCAACCAAAAAACACTGCCTTTCATATATGAGAGTCTGGGTTCAACCTTGATACCACACAAAATTTTTAAAAGAAAACATTCCAATTTGAATGTTTTTACACTGATTCTCATAACACATAAAAGTATTCATTTAGTCACAGATTAACTGTTTTCTTTTTGTTTTAAGCCATACCTAATGATATTCAGGGGCTTCTCCTAGTACAGTACTTGGGAGACCATCTGGTGCCAAGAATTAACCTGGGATTCCAGCATGCAAAGCATTCACGCTGTTCACTAGCCCCCTGACCACAAATTAATTGATTTCTATAATGGTAACCCTTAGTCATCAGAGAATAATACACTAAATATCACTATAATCCACTAATTCCATTTAAAAACTAAAAATGGCACACAGTTGAAATCCGTTAAGTAATGAATTAACTCATGTAGAACAGATACTTTTATTAAGGAGATGCTGTAAACTTTTCAGAGTATAATAAAAATTCTCCATTTTTTGATACAGAAACTCTGTATCAAATCCACTGACCACAACATAATTATTTGGAAATTATCTTATAATGGAAATAATTACTATTAAGGAAGTCCTAAATAAAAAAGCCCACTTAATACCAATTCCATAGGCTTACCGTAAACTATCAAGAATATGCTCTACATTTTTGGTGTGAATATGATGTCGTTCCAGAAGTCCACTGTAGCTAGAGCCTTTCAGTGCAAGCTAAACAAATAAGAAATAAATTTGTCTTATTACATGATATATATTCATATTCTTTATAAAGCCCTATGTAAAATAGTTTTGAATTCTAATAATTTTTAATTTTAATAATTCCCTGTAACACCTATAAATTTAAACTAGACAATTTAGATTTTATTAAAAAATCACAATTTAATTTTAAGACCAAATGCAGCATTAACTTTTCTGAATCATATTCGTCAACAAGCTCTCAAAATTGGTACATTTTACAGCATGAATGTTATTTATTTGCTTTTTTGGGTCACACCTGCAATGCTCAGGGGTCACTCCTGGCTCTGCACTCAGGAATTACTCATGGAGGTGCTTGGGGGACCATATGGATGCCAGGGATTGAACCCGGGTTGGCTGCATGTCAGGCAAACGCCCTCCCCACTGTACTCCAGCCCTGAATGGCTTCATTTTTTAAATAGATTTTAAACATATTACATACAACTACATGAAAGCCTTAGCTGACCTTTGTTCCACTTGGATCTGTAGCACTCATGTGCTGCAAATCCAAGATTTGTGAACTCTATTTGCAATTTGTTATCCAAACAGAGGGCTAGTTTGCTCCCTGAGAATGGTTAACTTCAGATATAGACAATAATCTAAAAGAATTACCTGTCCTAGTTGACTCTAGTGACATTTCATAAGACTGTTATCTCACCATTAGTAGTATTCTTTAAAATGTCTATGTCCAAAATAAAATGTCGAGACAGAAGTTTTTAAATATCCTCAATATCCTTTTAATCAAGCTGGAAAACTGTTCACTACTGTGAATAACAGTTTAAAAGCATGCTATTTTTGTTCCTTTTCCAAATCCTTTATACACTGCCTCTTTGTGAACAAAATCAGTTTTTCAAGTAGTTATACAATATACAATCATAAGTATACTCTCAAGTCATTGCTTACTGAATTATAAAATAAGTTTCTAGATAGCATTTTCTTTTTAAAGAAGTTTATTAAAATAACATAAAAGGACATATTTTTAAAAGCTAAGTTACACAGTTTATTAACCTGAGATAATTAGTGATAATGTCTTGATTCTTACCTTCCCAGTATTTTGTCTATGAACATTATGCTGAGTTGAGATTAATTCTATCATAACCCAACGATGAAACCAAAAATTAGCAACCAACTCAATGAATATGCTCAAAATGCTTTTCTTGTTTACTTTCTCCCTGAGATTTCTAGGCTCAAAGCTTGAAAAAAGAGAGGTGGTAGAGCAGGTAAGGAGTGCTCACCCCCGTTCAATACCTAGCACCACATAAGGTCCCCCCTCAAACACTGCCCACCAGATTTGGTCCCTGAGCACAAAGTCCAGAATAAGCCCTGAGCAGAGCTGGATGTGGCTCCCCACCAAATTAAAATTGTATAGTGATGCTGATGACTCAACTGTCACTTCCAACATGGAACTATGATTCCAAATGAATGTACCCAATTTGACATCTTTCCCTGGAAGTCTAACAGGCATCTTAACTAATATGCCCCTAGTTTTCTAATACACTGGTTACCATGGTTTTAAGAATGAACACTTTATAGGGCTAGAAATTAAGCGACATAACTAGAAATTAAAATGTCATTTCAAATCCTTGTTCCCTCTCAAATTTCTTGTGAACTAATTCTCCAATGATATATGCTCGATGTATTTAATTAAAGGATACAAGTTTCTATATTATTTTCTTTAAAGTTCTGAATGGTTGTACTAAGGTTCATGAACTGCCAAAATAAGCAGAAAAAAGAGGCATTTTTTAAAAAAATCACTGAATAAAAAAGCATCAACGTAAAGGTCTTAACTCACTAATTTTTACAGTTTATACAATGATGTGGGTTTAGTGACAAAGCACAAGCCTTGCATGTGTGAGGCTCTGGATTTGATCCCTGGCACTACAAAGTAATAAAAATAAAATATATGTGTGTTAAGACACTCAGTGGTACCCAGTGGCTGAAAACACCTGCCTTACAAGTGAGAGGCCAGGAGTTCAATCCTTCTTGTCTCCACATGCACTGCGCCTGGTCCCGGAAGCTTTGTTATCTGGGACCTTTGGCACCACAAGAGAGTGTGCAATCTCCAGGGCAGCCAAGTATGTGCATGCTCCAAGTGGGAGCCCTGGCAAACACCTCAACTAAATGAGTGTGTCCCCTAGCAAGCCTGTGTGGAGGTACTGCAAATAAAGTATGCTGCCATGCTGAGCATCACAACTAACTGTGACACCCAGACATTGCACCGAGGGGAGAAGACTATTCTTGTTGAAGTATTAGAGGCATTTTCCTTGACCAAAATGGAATTTATTATAGTGTTTAAAAACCTGTTATTAGTCCTTTGAAAATCACCATTTTACACACTAATTACATTAAGAATTATCAGTGAGGGAAGGAAATGTGATTTTTTTCAATTTAACACAGAATTATGAAACTTTTGTGATGGTTTGTTATATAATTTCACGATCACAGTCCTCCCGTTATTCATCGGTTTGCTCAAGCGGGCCCAGTAACGTCTCCATTGGAGACTTTGTTGTTACTGTGTAACGTCTCCATTGGAGACTTTGTTGTTACTGTGTTTGGCATATTGAATAAGTCACAGGGAGCTTGCCAGGGTCTGCCTTGCGGGTGAGATACTCTCAGTAGCTTGCCGGGCTCTTCGAGAGGGGCGGAGGAATCGAACTCGGGTCGGCCATGTTGGCTGCGTGCAAGGCAAACGCCCTACCGCTGTGCTATCGCTCCAGCCCAGAATTATGAAACTTTTGTGATGATGGTTTGTTATATAATTTCACTAAGCACAATTTAAATGACATCTACACAACTAAATAGTAGGTCAAAATTACTCAAAATTGCTTAAAGGAATTAGTGACATCCAATTAACTGCTAGAAAATGAACTATTCACTGAGCGCAGGGAACCGTAGCCCTCTCCCTTAATTGTTTTTGGCAACTTTCTATCCCACTTACCTTTCTCCCAGGCATTCCCCCACTGTTCTCTTCCTACTTCAGTTTTCCTCACTTTAGTTCTGTTAACCCACTCCCTTAGATGTTGGCATTACTTACGATTCCATCTTTGGTCTTCTTACCTTCTTGTCAGTTCCCACTTCTTCCCTGGACTATTCACCTGTTCCCCTCACTATTCTGAGATTTGCTATCAAGTATAGACCCTAACTATGAAGTCTATGCCGCCTACTAGCTCATATCTTTCTCCTGAGCTATGGGAACAAATTTTCAAATGCCTACCTTTATAGTAGAGTTCATGCCCAATTCAATCAGCTAATCAGTGGCTGAATAAATAGCAGTACTTCTACATAAAAAAAATGCCTACCTTTATATCCACCTACTGGTTCAAGTACCTCTCCCCCAAATCATCCAAATCCAATTACACATTCCTCCTAATTTGCTTTCGGAGTTCTACATAGCAATCAGTTAATAATATTTCCATTTACTTAGTCAACAGAATAAGCTCAGGCTTCATGTTTGATTCTTCCCTCGTGACTTCCACGTAGTCAGTAGTGCAGCCAAATAGTTAAACCTGCAAATTGTTTCTCCGATCTGTGCTATATATTTGTGTAGCAACTCGTGGAATATTTGGACATCAACTCTTATCTGGTCTCACACAATAACTTGCCTCTGGAATCTCTAAAGTAGGTCCTTCTTTAAAAATCCTTATTTCCCATTCCTCCAACCTAACTACCACCATAACCAGAAAAGTTTTTCATACTAGCACAGAATGCTAAAAAATTTCAATAATAAAACCAAAAAACTAATATTTCTCATTCCATTCATGTGAACAAAGAGTAGGGCTAAGGTTTGGATTTGAATATCTACCCCTTCATATGGTGTCCAGGGTTGGAGCAATAGCACAGCGGTAGGGCATTTGCCTTGCACGCAGCCAGCCCGGCCGAGCTGGGTTCGATTCCTCCACCCCTCTCGGAGAGCCCGGCAAGCTACTGAGAGTATCTCACCCGTGCGGCAAAGCCTGGCAGGCTACCCACGATGTATTCAATATGCCAAACACAGTAACAAAAATCTCAAAACAATGGAAACGTTACTGGGCCTGCTCAAGCAAACTATGTTATAAGGCTGAATTGTTTCATGTTACTTTTTATTTCAAATATGTACTGTCATAATGTAAAATTTTTCTGACTGTGGACTAGTTACAACATTTGATGGCAAAAAAGACATAAACTCAAAATTCTTCAAACATTCGAAAATTAAAACATTTCACTACCATCACTTTGGCAACAATGTTAGTCTACCACGTGCTGATGAGATTATGGAAATCAGAGTTACTCAATGCCTATTAAAAATTATTTCTACTTCTAATTCCATTTTTTAAAATAGTACAAAAACAAACCAAAAAAAGAAGCAAGCTATTTTACCTCCCCAATGGAATATTATGCAGCAGTTTAAATGGGCTAACATATAATACAAATTTGTTTTAAATCTAATTGTGAATAAGAAACCAATGATCTAAATAGGCACTTATTCTAAATATGATATTACTGATACAACATTTTGGGGCTCCTCAGCAACCATGGGGGTCAGGGGATACTCCCAGTGATACTCTCGGGAGTGGAGACTTGGGACTGGTTATACTGGGGGTTACCAGGGTCATACCTTGCAGTATTCAGAAGAAGGCAAGATAAGACTTAGAGCCTCACATATGCAAGGCCTGCACTCCACCCCTCCCAGCTATCTCTCTTCCCCAGTCCCTAATGCGATATATATGTATACATTTTATTCATATATACACACATAATTATTTCAGGTTAGTCATTACCTCTGGAGAGAGAAAAAGGGAGAAAGTGAGAACAGGACTATACTCAGAACATTTCTTTCAAATATACCTGAAGCAAATATTACAACGTATGTTATGTCTAGTTAACTGGATACACAAGTGTCTAGTTCTTTTGAAACTTTTTAATGTGGTAAAAATACTCTTCATAACTGAAAACGATCACTAAAAAGCCAACTCAAGAGTTGAAAAAAAGCCTCAAAG